GCCACAATCTTTAACAAATGAGCTATGCCAAAGTCATTCATAACACAGGTTATAACGACTGAGATTAATATTAACCGTGACTAAGGAGTATTTGTTGTTTAGATAGGCTGCTATCCTGGACACAAGAATACCGTCAAAATAAGTTTCCACAACGACATTCCCTAACAGAGCCAAGCCCTGCTGGCTGTCACAGGAGGCCCGAAGGATATTTAGACACACAAGAGCAAAATCATTCATTGGAGACAAAATTATAAGCTCGAGGAATTTCAGAAATGGATACTTATCAAATGATTTATGTTGGCCTATCAACTTGTGTGTTTGGTTGGAACAAGGGGAATAATGAACGATGGGAAAAAATAAAATTCCTTTCAGTGTGTCTGAGAGATAAGAGAATACATATTTGAGACTTTTCAGAAATAAAATATGGATTGCAATAAATACAAAAATATCACTAGTGACTGCTTTGTATAATAAATACAAAAATTATATATAAGTAGTGACATCTGCTGGATATTCTCTACAACTGCAGTTTAATATGTCAGTACTATGGTACTGCACTCATCCAACTGTCTCCTTAGCTGTAGTTTATCTGGAGTGAAACACGAACAGGTAAATAATGTTACAGCCATCCATCGTCTAACTGCTTCTTCCAATTCGGGGTCTGTGAGGTCCCGGTGTGTCTCCTAGCAAGCAACAGGCACATGGCAGGAAACATCCTGGACAAGAAGCCAGTCCATCGCAGGGGCAGACACAGACACACACACTCACACCAGGGACAGTTTTCCCAGAAGCCAATTAACCTACCAGTATGTTTTTGGGCCACAGGAAGACAACAGGGCAGCTGGACAGAAACCACACAAACAGGGGGCAAAGAAACAAACTTCATGGAGATAGCACCCTAGGTCTGGAATCGAACCCAGGTCCGTGCACTGCGAAGCGGCAGTACCAATGACTGTGCCCTGACATTACGTTTCATATTTAAAAAATAAATTCAATCTTAAAAGCCATGCTATAATCTCATCAAAACAAGGGAATATTCCACACAGAGGAAAGAAGGCTTTATACATTTAAAAACAAAATGACAAACATAATCATCAGACACCATTAATGTTAAATGATACATAATAAACGTCCTTCCCCTTGGTGGATTTTTTTGTGTGTGATATAATTACTCTTAAAATGTTTAACATTACAAAGCCTTGAGACCCAACCCTAATCATACATGGGAGATGCCCTCTTGATCTGGCTCTACAAAAGATTAAAGAATGGGATAGTTTAAACAAATGTACTGTGCTTTCAGAAACACAAGGGTTTAGACACTGGCTTTAGGGGTAGACTTAGCAAACTGTAAGGGTAAGGGTTAGTATTCAGTGTTAAGTTTAAGATCCAGAACACAAATTTGAACACAGCTAATAAAATGCCAGTAATTGCAATTCTTACCACCAGGGGGTGCAGGCTGGATGCTCACAGGTGGTGGTTTGGACACGGAGAGCAAGGTCTGAAGAGGCTGAATTATTATGGTTTTGGCTGTAAGAGGAGCAGTGGAGTGGGCAATTGGAACTGTTGTGATAACCGGCTTGGGCTGAATGGACACTTTGGGGGTGAGTTGAATGGGACGTTTTGGAGCACATGATTTTCCTGCAAAGGCAAACCAAAAATTATAACTGTTTTGTATACCCAACAAACAGGTACATCAATCAGAAAACAATAGACATTTATTTTTAACCCAAGGTGATCTACAAATGTCAGACCAAAAAATAATAATTAACCATCCCATACTCTGGCAGAAGTAAAACGTGCTACACCAGTTTTAAAGGAGAATGCTATTTTCATATTGTGGGGTTAGAAAGAATCGGCATTAATGAGTGCATTTCAAACCCCAATGAAAGTCAAATGTACACACTAACACCACAAAATCAATACACTTTCCAGGTGTGCTCAGCACCATATTCTGTGATTCAGAAGGAGGCAACCAAACATCCGGTGAGGCAAATGTAGGTAAACAAGCAGATTTGTGAATACATCTCTTTTAATTGAACAGAAGTATTGCTCTCTACTTCCAGACGGTTTTGCTGACAAATACAACTTTCTTTTTAAATCTGCATTCTGCTGCAGAACCTGTACTTATTCGCTCATAAATTGCATTACATTAGTCATTACAGTGACTAGTGAGCAGGATGGGCCACTTCACATCATAATTCTCACAAACTGTCACCCTCGCCTATGGCGAGAGACCAGCGGTTTGTGTCAACATGGCGACCACACAGTATTTCACAAAGTCCACAATGATTTTGTGCTTACTTCAGAATGGGTCAAATTTTGTGATCATTTGTTATCTATTCATTTGTTATCTCGACTGAATAACTTGTCTGAGAAATTGCGACTGCAGTTCCCCTTTAACATCGTTTTGGGTTCCTCACAACAACCGTCTTAATTTTGTCACAGCAGGAGATACCTCTGGAGCTCTGGCCTGCCCTCTTCTGCGGCTTCTTTTCTTCCACAACATCATAAGTGCTGCTGGCGTCGGAGCAGACAGACACAGGCGAAGCCTGGGACTGTGGAGAGAGATCTAACTCCTCCTAAAAGAAAAAATTGCAGGAGGAAGATTAGTATGCGTGGGTGCTTTCAAAACAAAATTGGCCGGCTTGAAAGGAAATAAAAGGCACAATACAAAGACTAAAGCCATCCTTTGCTTTGTTGGTGTTGTCTGCCACACACATCAAGAGCTTTGCCTCATAAAAAAAATGAACGTATTACTGATTATTACACTGTCTGCGTTGGTGTCTGTCTGCCCTGTAATGGACTGGCATCCCGTACAGGATGTACCCTGCCTTGTGCCCACTGCTTGCCAGGATGCTGACTTAAAAGAAGTGGTTAGAAAATGAATGGATGAATAAATATATTATTACACACTACAATGGGACAATACTGTAAATTAATTGTTAGGTTTCAAGAAGATCACAGAAGAAAGATAAAGATGGCAAATGAAGCAACCTCTTTATTAAGAGGTCCACAGGCCAGTTCAGGTCGGTGGCACAAAATAAAAACTGTCTGCCAAATGTAATGCTAATAAAACCGTTCTTTATAACGAGCGGGTAATTTGAGAAGGTGGCGGCATAATTAGTACGGAGCTGAGCCGATAGAAAATTAAGACATCAATTTACCGTACAAACAGGATTTTAATCATTACTGGAATCCACTGGGGCATTGCGGCAGTTTTTTTTCTCTCATTTCCAGCTGCTTAAAGCACACAGAAGCAGCTGGCATGGAAAAGCAATCCCTGGAAAGAATCCATCTGCGATGTTTCCTGATATAACTCCAAAACAGGTCAGACATTTCTTTTGCCTTTATCTCGTCGCATAGCTCATCGATTCTAGCTGATTCTGTTGTTACTCTGCGAGCTGCAAAGTATGTTTTTGTATGTTTTCTGTTGACTCAATGTCCACTGCCGGAGTGGATGTTTTGTGAATTAAATAAAAAACGAAAAACAAAACAGGCCAGGCGTATTTTTACAGTGCAGTGTTTCTGAGAGGGAAAGCAGAAGGCCGACTTACAGGAACACAATAGGAGGAAGGGGACGCCACCGAGCAAGGAGAGGAAACTGAACTGAGCGTAAGGCTTGGCGAAAAAGGCCCCGCAGTTGTATCTCCATCTACAAAAAAAATACCATACATGAAATTAACTGCTATTGTGTTCATATCATTATAAACACAGAATTTTCAGGAAGGGAAAAGGCTTTACAGCAGGTGACTGAAAAGATCTTTTCTAATGACCCTACGCTGGAACACTAGCAGTCATACAGTTGCACGGAGTGACTGAACATTTCGGAGCTTTATCCTTTACCAGGATACTTCAGCACAATGGTTGAAGCGGGCCTAGTTTAACTGATTTGCACTGCTTAGTCTAATTCCAACAAAATGCAGTTAATTCTGTGCTAGTTGAATTTATACACCCTAGAACACGAATATGAGCCCATTCATTACAAGTCATTTTGACATAGAAACCAGCCATTTTTAAAGAATCAGGAAAACAGATTAGGAGGACTCTCACAGTGTCTGCACTGGTGCACTTATATTTCTCTTAGCCCAGGGTCAGGTTGAACTGCCTCGCTCCCCAGTGATCACATTCTGTAGCTGAGTTACCTGTGCAGCTGTCCGAGTGCCAGGGCGTCAGATCAATGTCAAAGTCGAGATCTGCCACCTCGCCGGTCTGAGAAACGGGAAAAATAAAGATGGATATTTTTACGAGAACGGCATGCTCACGTAACATGAAAAGATTCTTGCAAGGCCTCTCCTCTGTGAGGCGCGGGGCGAGCTCTACGATCAAGGGCCATCATCATGGCACTAGCCCACTGTGACTGGAATTCTACAGGTGAGGGTAGGGCAGGCATAGTCGGCTAGGACTCTCTCAGCTCTCAGCAAACACAGAGACCCCTGCTGCCTGCCAGCCACTGAGGGATGCCTTGTAGTCAATGAGGACGAGGGACACACCACACCTGTCCTCAAGTTGGCACTAAGCAACTGGTATGGGTTTGTGTTGCCCGTTAGAAGCAAGCAGTTCAAAGATGGGCAGGTCAGAGGAGTCTGCCCACACTTGCTTATTCTCCCGTGTGCACTCACAGGGTTCATAGCCATGACCCGTGAAAAAAATATAAAACTAGAGAATCCAAATTTACACCTTACCTCTGAAATTTAAAAATGATAATCAATATAACTGGGAATTTTAGGCAAACAATTTAAGCAGGCAGATAAAGTCAGCAATCTTTGGCAGTGCACTGTACAGTGGCATATTTATCACTAAAGGTGAGCTCCTAAACTAAACTTCTAATAGCAAATCAATTGAAAAGCCGTGAAACACAAGGTAAGAGACATGCAGTACTGGACTCACAGTATTTCCCAGAGCCTGTAATAGCTCGTCAGCATCTCCTAAATTATCCAGATCATCAAACAGGCTGAGATCTGGAACATAAAACAGACAAATGCAATTTAAGAAAGTGAAAAAAATTTATAGCAGAGTCTTGATGTAAACAACAGAACTACAGTTATTATTGTAACAGTAAAAGACGTTACTATGCTTTTAACGTAAAAAAACTTACGTTTAAACACTGTCAAGAAACTGTAAAGCTTCTGTGAATTACTACTAATAAGAGAAAAAAAATGCCCAAAGCTACAATATTAAACTAAGGTTTTATCCGTTCATGTGTTGAAAGTACCAGCCAAATAGTTGTGTTAATTTAATACAATTACATTTTATATTATGAAGATCATGTTTATTACTTGTTGGTATCAGTTTGCTAAATTGACAGATCTGATATTGGAGATATTAATCACAACTTCCTAAGTTGTTTCAAGCTGATTTCTTTGAATAGACTCATTAGCACATTTTCCTCGTTTTTAACATATTGAAAAACACTTTAAAACTGTGTTGCGGTCTTCACTTGCTCAATATATTTTAATTAAATAAAAATAAAAACTAGAAGATTCCTGGAAATAAAATTCGGCCCTGTCAGTACCCGTAGTCAACTTTTCAAATGTCTATTATCACATTTAATTACACGTTTTACTATTCAAATGGAAAATAAATTTAGCCGTTGAACCTGAAAAAACGACAAATGTACATTAATGGTATCGGGAAAACACAGATTATGGAACACTTACCCCACTCGCCATCCTGGTCGATACAGACATCCCCGCTGTCGCTGTACATCTTAGTATCAATATGATTTAGCAGAGAACGAGTCTCTAAGTCTAACATCAAATCTGCCGACATTTTTCCTTGAATACATTAGTTACAGAGATAATAAACGCCGTGAATTCTGCGCAGATCTATAACGCTCAGTAAGAGATTAATCATATCTTCAATGTTCACACTACACTTCCTGCTTCAGTAGTAAATACACGTCTCTACTAACCTGTACTTTTAACAGCGTCGAAGTATGGAAACCGTAGAAGGACAAACCTTACGGAATAGAAAAATGCAATGAAATTCATATCACAATTTTATAAAATAAGCGGAAAATGTGTTAAACGTCCTTATCAGAATGGCTGGATGTTTATTGTTCTTACACAGACCAGTTTTCTTTCTTTCGTTCTAACACCAAAAATCAAAAGTATATTTGAAGCCAGACAATTACCAATGCAGTTATCAAGCTCAATGTTCACAAACATATTGATGGTTACACATCCAGTACTACACATTGGGCACGTCTGCCAACATGGAATATGCATTTTGGCAATAATGCTACAAAAGCCAGACCTGTTGAGTTGAAATTCACTATTATGATTTATCATATTAATCATATTGTTAATCATTTTCAATCTTATTAATTTTGTATATTTTCATCAATTCAAAGTGGCCAATGTAATCCAGCTGAAATCCAAGTTGTTCAGAATTAAAAAAAAAATGTTTTAACTATATTTGACCTATGCTGTAGATATAAAATAGCATTATGAGGTCTTGAGGTGTGGTTGCTACATTAGCGTTTGCATGACTTTTATCAGTTCAAACTCTAAATGGTATACTGTAGCTGTGAAAATGTTGTCTACAGATCCCTCTCATATCAACAATTGATTCTATGTGAATGGATAAAGCACATGTTGTGGTGGTTACGCTTTTTATGCTCATGAAGGTAGCCTCATTACATGTTTGGAACTGAAAGCAATTTAAAAAATAAAATTAAACCTGTTTTTAAGCCACTTGAGGGTTAAACATATAACTGAGAGTCCATCTGGAACAAATATCATTAGGTGATTGGGTCTCCATGACCAGAATTGGGAACTCCTGAAGTTGGGTATTTCTGAAACTCAAGAGTGAGTGTGGGAACAATCTGACCACATCTAAAAAAAGCCAGCAGAGCAATTAAAGTCATCAAATAGAACAGGAGATGTAGATCAGCTAGAATCAGCTGGACAGATAAATGTGCCTTTAATGAAATGCATGGTTTTTGTGCAATCAGCTGTAAAAAGCCTTAAAAAAACTAATTTAGAAAAAGAATTAGGTTGTCTAATTGTAATAAAACTTAAGACACAAGGCTCTCCAGAAACTGAGACTCCCTGGTGCATACTTACAACCACACTGAGCAGTAGATGCTTTATGCAAGTATTCTCCAGAAGTGAATCAAGCTGATTAGTCATGTGGCTTGGTGGCAATATTATAATTTCTCCACAACGTGGACAGATTTAACAGAAATGTTAGTTGTGAGTTCTGACCATCATCAAAAAGGGAAATTTGCAGATTGGATCGCCTTAATATTTGCAAAGGGAAGTTGTACATATTAAGGTGATCCAATAAACCAAGAGAGTCACTTTCAATCAAAATGTTTCCTTTTTAAAAGCTCATATGTGATTAAAAACACCTGATTGAATAGTTGTTTGTGGATTCCCATGACCTGAATATGCTGTTGGTTTACAGATTAAGCAGTTGCATTCGTTGCAAATGGCCTATATCTGATGCCATGATAAGAAAGCAAGATATATCCATCTTCTAAATGCTTTTTTCAATTCAGGGTCTTGGGGGAGCTGGACCCCAACCCAGCAAGCAATGGGCACAAGGTTACAACTTGGACGGGATACCAAGCCATCGCAGGGTAACACAAACACACTCACCCAGGGGCAGTTTCCCTAGAAGCCAATCAACCTACCAGTATGTTTCTGTACTATGGGAGAAAACCAGAGAATCTGATGGAAAACCATGCGAACACGGGGAAAACATATAAAGATAGCACCCCAGGTCTGGAATTGAACCCATGGCCCCCACGCTGAAAATCAGCAATGCGACCCACTGAGCCACCCAGAAAGCAAGGTCCTTTCACATGTAAAAGCAGAAGACATTACTCTGATAAGCTTAAACATTCTTTCCTATGATGCAGGAAACTGATGCACGATGCTTAAAAAGTACAGTAAGCTGTGGAAGCCATAAAGGTGCTTGAAACGTCTAGATTTTATTTGTATTGTGATATATAATTGGAAGGTGAATTGCATTATTTATTTATACTTCTGCCAAAAGCACCCATGTATTTTTTTTAAAAAGCTACTAAACTATGGCGTTGTTACAAAGGCACGTATTTTATTATGTCTAGAATATATTAGCTGAAATAAAAAATGCATCAACCAAAGCTCTTTGTGTACTGCATGGATAACCCAGAGCACAAGTTTGGAGAATTTTCTTCGATGAGGTTTTAGCCTGTTGTTGTGGGAAGACGTGACCTTTCCAGTTCAATTACAGGTATGACAATGTTCTCTTCCCGGTGTAAACTTTAGTTTAAACGAAGAGAGAAAGACGCAGGGAAAGAGTCTTCCACATCCAAGCTAGCTGTTTCCAGACAGGAGTCCAGGCACGTGTAGGGGCTTGATTTCATCCACTCGATTCTTATGGATCTGAAAGGCCGGGGTCACCCATCGGCCACATGAACACTGCTCGCCGTACCAGTTGAAAGAGCCCAGCTTTGAGCTGCATTTTGGACACAGAAGCTAGAGAAAAATCAACAAGGATTGTATGAGAAAACAAGACTCACCTTTTCACAAAATCGATAAACCAGAAACAGTCTTAGGAATCAAAAACACTTTGAATTACCAAAAAGAATGCAAGTTAAAAATAATTCATATTTCTCTCCCACTAAAGGATAACTTTTTTTATTAACCTTCCAACTGACAGCTTTTGTTAGAAGATTGCCAATGTATTCTCACCTGCCCATCGAGAACACCAAGCAGTGCCGGTTCCATCCACTGTACTGGCTCAATAAAATGGGACGTACACTGCCTTTGAGCTGCACTCCCAGCATGTTGTATTGTACTACCTATCTTTTTATGAGCAAAGGCTGTTGGTCCAGTTCCAGCGTTGTGACTTAGAATACTAGAATTCCGAAATAAGGTGCGTCTGTGAGACGGGGACAAAAAAAACAGATTTCAAATCTTTATTACTAATTTATGTATAAAGCAGTCATGCTTTCTGTGGTGCATTCTAGAAGGATTCCAACACTCTTCTGAGAGTATAAATGGTTATTTCATTGTCATCAAGATAAGGTGACATTTAACTGGACAGAAACACGCTGATCTCTGTCAGATAAACAAAATCCTCTGAGAAACCGTCATATATATATATGTATGTTTTCATACAACACCTTTATTATACAATTTCCTTCTTAACTACGATGAGCACCACTAAAAATACTGGAACAGCTGCCACATATGCTGTCTTTGATATAAAGGATAAAAAGAGAGGCCTTAAGTTGTTAAAATGGCAGATTTGTGTTTAAAATGCCTCACGCAATTACACTTGGCCTGTCAGACAGATACATGCATATCATCCTCACCCAGTTTACTGACTGGCATTGCAGCTGCCAGCACACAGCAGTGAGATACCCTCCTGTAGAGGTCTCTAGTGAATCGCAGTTTACGAAATTCAGCTCCTGCAGATGTGTAGGAGCATGGAGATCTGCAGGCAGCGGTCTCCTGCTATCCGGTTTGCAAAGAACAGTCAGTCACGAAGGTGTAACTGTCTCCGTGCAGGCTGCCACTGAACATGGTCGGTAAACGTCTTTTTGAGTGTGGCCATTTAAATGCTGCCAGCTCCTTCAGTGTTTCATACCTATCACCTTCTAAAGAAGCATATTACACGTGTTTCATTGCAGGAAAAGGTGCTACTTGCCACACAGCTAAAATGGCAAGAATGTGGAAAAGAAAAAAAAGGCAAAAAGCCTTTTTTTTCCCCATAGAGCTAGATCATAAATTCCATGGAACACATATAGATAAGTCCAGAGAGGGAGTTAAATACAACAGGTCCATCAGTTTAAAGCTGTTGAAGAGAATATTCTTCCGTACAGATTGAGTGGGTGGAACCAATGCAGATGTGGATTGATACCAGACCTATTTGCATACAAATATTGGTGTCACAACAAAATACTTGTACAATAATGTAGATAGCTCATCTAACATTTTTCATTGTAACAGAACAACTGTGTAGTTGTTCTATTTCAATTACATTAGTATTATTCTAGCTGTTATAGCTCCCTCAGTGAATAATCTTGAAATAATTATTATAATTGCTTACATTTATATAGTGCTTTTCTGGACACTCCACTCAAAGCGCTTTACAAGTAATGGGGATCCCCTTCACCACCACCAATGTGCAGCCCCACCTGGATGATGAGTCATACTGCGCCAGAACACTCACCACACATCAGATATCAGTGGGGAGGAGAGCAGAGTAATGAAGCCAATTCATAGATGGGGATTATTAGGAGGCCATGATTGGTAAGGGCCAGTGGGAAATTTGGCCAGGACACCAGGGTTACACCCCTACTCTTTTCGAGGAACGCCCTGGGATTTTTAATGAGCACAGAGAGTCAGGACCTCGGTTTTACGTCTCATCTAAAGGACGGCGCCTGTTTACAGTATAGTGTCCCCGTCACTATACTGGGGCATTAGGACCCACATGGACCGCAGGGTGAGCGTCCCCTGCTGGCCCCACTAACACCTCTTCCAGCAGCAACCTTGGTTTTTCCCAGGAGGTCTCCCATCCAGGTACTGACCAGGCTCACACCTGCGTGGGTTGCCAGTTGTGAGTTGCAGGGTGATATGGCTGTTGGCTCAGTACCTACACTTATATACTGTACCTACACTTACCTACAAATACCACGTACCTACACTTCCTGCATCTGTAAATGATGTCATTGTCCCTTGTCTGTCCACTAGTTGTTGGATCAGCAGCAAACACTTCCTTTGGTACACTCTGAAGCTCTGAGAAGAATACAATTAATAACACTTGACCTGGAATGTATTTTATCAATCTTGATTAATCCTTAGCTTTTACACATGCAACGCTAATCAGATATGGATATCAACTGAGAAAAAAATGCCTTTACTTAAAACAACTCATTCAAAATAAAATGAAAAACTATCTTGGGAAAAACTGCTTACATTTCTTACCAATTTCATGCTTCAACACATTTATCTCATCTTACTGCTCAAGGTGGCAATCAGAACTATTACCTGGATATTTCTCTGTGAGCTTCTTCAGTCTGTATTGCTTATACAATGGACTACTGAAATCCACTTCACACCCCATCATCTCATACAATTCCAGTTGGTCCAGAAACTCATCATTAATTCTAAATAAGAAAATAGCGATTTAAAAATACTTTTAATCAAGCCATTTATTTTATTTTTGTTTCATGTTGTAAGCAACCATTTACTGTATGTTAATAAATGGAAGCTACAGTAGATTGGATTATAGACCTTTCTTTAATGAACAGTGAAAAACAATCAAGTCAGCTAGTGTTTAAATACAAAATTTTAAAATAATACAATTAAAATGTTATGTTAACCATTTTGCATCCCCTTAAATAAGGTGTAAACTCACTACTAACCTGACATCAGGCTTGACTTTCTGGAGTGTAGTATATGCAGTCATCAGGCTCACTTTGTTAGACGTCATCAAGAATGCAGTCACCACTGCTGCACTACGACTTTGTCCTGCGTGACTAGGACAATGTACTAATGATTATTAATGAATATCACAAATTTTATAGAGATGTAATATACTTTACTGTCAAATGTAAAGAATACAGTTGATCATGCTTTAAATTGTTGGTAACCCAAAAAACATCCACACTTCCTTTGATTATAATAAAACAAATATGCTGCAAATTTGGTAGAACAGCAATATGAATCGGATTATAAAAGCATTAAGTTTACCACAGGTACTGTACAAGGTATACTCCTTTTGGAGGGAAAAGTATCTAAGCAAACAGACATGCTGTATAGATATACAGTATAGATGTGTTTATGTAGATTTAACATCTACACAACTATCATAAAATATTAACATTTAGAGCACTACAAATCTTTATTAACAGTTTTCAACTGCACGTGATCAATATCATGATTAACATAATATTAAACCTTACAACAGTGTGAGAAAATCATAGAATAAAACTGATTACCAGGTGATTTAATTAAATACATGCCTACCAGTGTACTAGGACTGCAGAAGATGGATTAGCAAAAGCTTCTGAGATGAACGTAACGCAGTCATCCAGAGAACTGAGCAGATCAGTGCAGGACTCGTCTAGGGCATACACAAACTTGCTCTGAAAGCACCCGGGAAGGTTTGGTGCTTCCGAATCTACCGTGAGAACGTGAGTTATACCATCCGCTGTCAAACTCTGACAGTCTTTCAGGTCTGAAGCAGCCCCTATATACAGTCCTGTCTGCACACAAATCATGTCCTCTTCTTAGCCTTTACGCAGAGTATGAATGTTTAGAGACAGCTTTGAGCTAATCTCCTGAAGAGAAAAAAAATACAAATTAGTCGGTTAAAATCTAGTTGTTGTTTTTTTTCATAATTCACCATTGATTTTGATCGAAACCGAAACAGTCGCATAGCATAGTTAGTGCATAGTTTTCTAAGAACTGAATTCGTTTTTTTTAACTAGAACGAGTTACAGAATTGATCAAATATCACAGTACGCATTAAAATGCTGAAGTATACATATATAGTAATTTGAATACGTTTGTGTGGGGAAAATAGTTTTCTTGTAGTTCATGTTGTTTCATTGAATAAGTAAATGCATTTTATGGAAAGCTTGTATTGAACGGATCAACAGCTAAAAAAGTTGTATTTAGTTCAATGTGCATGCTAATTCTGATTATTCATTATGTTTAGACTGAATATCTGTATTTAGATAAGTACACTTTTACGTATCCTATTTATTCAGAATAAAGCTAATATAATAATAAGCTCATATCAGTCACCGTTAGTACAGCAAAACATCAAGAAGAAACACAAAGCGTGATTTACCATCCAACCTCTTCCTCATTGCTCTTGTAAATAGCATCCGATCAGGAAACAAAGACGACGTATTTAGTTCCCAGCATTAAACTTTTCTTCGTTTTGTAAAATACAAAAGAAATCATGAGGCAAGTATGATTTACAAATTTTAAGGAAGATCACAATTTTGCACACACGTGTCACCTAAATTTCGAAAATTAATCACAATTTTATTCAACACCTTAAGATTTTAAAAACAAACCGCAAAGGTGTCTGCAATTTGAAATCAAATACCCGAGATAGGAGGGAAAGAAAGAAACTGCAAAGAGCAAAAACGACTATTGTTAGACAAGGGCGGGTATTGTCCGTTTATAACTAATAACATTATTTCTGTCGATTTGTATCGGACAAAAATTAAAATATTGTTTTCATTTGATTTGAACAAATTCCTAGTTGTGTAGCCTATTTAATTTTGAATCCAGAAAAAAAACTGGAATAAAGTATTTGGTGTATCTGTGGATAGTCACTGTATTATGTAAGAGGTGTCCTTAACTATAATGTTGAGGGGGGTTCCATAATTAGTAGCTGGTATAGCTATGTCCTAATGAACCTCATGGACGTTTCGTATGGGGGAACACAAATGACAGATCAGCGAAGACAGTAAGCAAGTGTGATTATGGCCCCGAAGGGGCGGCCACGGCGAAAATGAGAGCCCCCTCCACACATTAGGACTGGCTTCCTTCCTTGCAAAAAATGACAAGTGGAATTTTGTTAACAGAGCTGAAGAAGTGAGCTTAACTGCACCCTGCTAGGATGGCCGGCGTGGCTGCGGCGCTGAGCGGGATGCTGTGGAGATACAGGACCGCTAATGAAGTCAGGACCGAGCGTGAAGGATCCCAGAGGCACGCACAGGACAGATGGCAGGAATGCGGCTCCATGCTGCTCACGCTGGGCTCAGCTGATTGGCCAGGTAAGTGTGATATTATCTTATGCTCAGCTGTGGCAGTTCAGCTTAATTTACAGTTGTGCTGTGGAGCGCAAAGATCCTAGTTTTCGATACCACTGAAAACCCTCCCGTCAACGAAAAAAGGAAAGGAAGAATGCATTTTAGATTTCCAGCGAGGTTTCAATAGTACGATGTATCTATTTCATTTCTTTCTTAAAAATTATGCAGATTAGCGAATGTTGTAGTTTTTATGTCGTTTCTACATTTATCTTTTAACTTCGTTAAATGATTTGCCATTCAACAATATGCATTTTATCCGGGAAAGGAGTATAAATGCAGAGAGGGCCGTAGTAAATTGGAATACATGTTTGAGTTAGCGAACAAATGTCTGCCCTGTGTTGTAAAAGCGATGTTGTGATACATACGGTTTTTTTTTTCATTTTAAAAACAGAGACAGGCGTTCTGTGATAAATCACCTCCGCATTCAGTTTTAAGGCTCTTGTGATGAGCTAGAAAAGCATTCTTACACAAACGGTAGATGGCAGCAAAAATCCCTTCTGAACAAGTGCAAATCGCTTCAAGGAACTTCTGGGAGGCCGGATGATTGCACAAAATCTTGCTGATATAGTTACAAGAGCTTTCATTTTAAATCAGATTATTAAAAAAAACAAGTACGTGTTTAATATAATTGCTTGAATAGTATGTTTAGATTGTGTGATGAACTTTGATCAGATGTCCATAGCTATCAGTTCTTACTTCTGCGTGGTGTTTACAAAAGAATAATTCAGACGGTAAACTTCACATACCAAAAGCTGCTTATTTTGTAAATGAATTTATCTTTATCCTTTTGATTGTCTCGTAACATTGGCATTTTTAAATGTCATACAAAATGCCAATGAAGAAATCTGAAGAAGGCAAAAGGCTTGAGCCTCAGTTCTAACCTTTATTAAAATTACATTATAAATAGTTCAGGCTGCCACTCCTAGGTGACCTGTTGATATGCTAGTATGAATTATTATCCTTAGTGGAATATAGAAGTATTCCACTATATATATAGAAGAGTGTAACATCAGACAACCACTATCATTTATTATCAGAGGACTCGATCACACAAAATTGGTAGCACATATTAAGCAGTGTTTTTAGTATATTTTTCTTTGAATGTAATTGCTTAAGAACACAGGGGCTATTTACACAGAGCAGCAATGTTGATGTTTTGGCTCGTTTCTTATTTACTTATTTTTTCCCCTGTCTCTTCAGCGTGTTCTGAAAACTGACACTGTGACATTTGAGTAGGTGTGACTCAGTCTCTCTCCGAGCTCCACCAGAGAGAGAGTTATTATTTAAAGCAGCAGTACCTCTCCGTCCGGCTTAATTTTAACAGAATCGTTTTCTGTTTTGTTTTTGTTAAATGAATGAAGTCGTCCTCGGAGTCACATGCGTCTTGTCCGCTAAGGACATTGTATATCGGAGTTTCTCTCATTAGAACATAAAACAATGAGAGGAGGCTGTTCACCCATTTAGCCTGTTTGGGCTAGATCTCACCCGCTGAAAGCTGTGTGAATATATAACACATCAGATAAAAACAAAACAAGAACTTCTGCGATGTGTGATGCATTTATGTTGCTCCCCAGTAATATAGGAATATGGTGCTCCTCTTTCCAGGCTCCCTGTTGGATGTTCTTAAATTACACATTAAAAGGTCACATTCACACTTAAAGATCCAGAACAGGTGATTAGACTAATCTCGTCGGTTTCCTCGGGACACATTCAGATTAACCTGAAGTGGTCCTTTCAGAATCCCTGCAAAATCTCATCCAGTGACTAATTTCTGCAAATGTATTTTCGTTAAGTCTGTCCTTGGATCTGTCCTTTGGTACAAGTATACAGGAAACACTAACAAATAATTAGAATACTAGAATTCAACTCACAAGTCATTTCACTTTGTTCAATAGCATGCCTGTCGGCTCTGAGACTATTTTTCAATAAAAAGTATTCATAGTTCTGTAGGATACCATGACTGTTTTAGCTTCACAAAACAAACGAAAATATGTTATAACAGAGTAAATTGACATTTTGTCCAATTGAATCAATTGTCCATTGGTATTTGATAATAAAATCCATAGACAATACATCACACTTGGTAAATAAAGATAAAGATGTATTATACACCAGCTTTATATAACCTTCAGTTTATCCCATGTGGCAGCAATAAATAAGTCTGAAGCTTCCAGACAGAGATGTAGGATTAACTAGTTAGTCTCGTGCTTCTTAAAGATATCATCTGTGAAAAATGGATTAAATCTGCATAAAGTAAGAGGTTGCCTTAGGAACTGTCTGAATTTGTGAAATGGTAGATTTCAACTCTTATGTAGTAGAAACTGCGTTAATTATAATTTGGCGCTCCCTGACATAAAGAATACTTTTTGTCTTTGGAAAGATAGGCTTAGAATTCCCTTCTGCACATAAGATAGCAATTATTCACGTGAATACAGCAGGCTTTGAGGACTTAATTTCACCATCTTCCTATACACATTCAAAAGCATTGCTCAACTGTAAGAAACTAAAGCCAAATCAGTAATTGCATGCACATAATACAGTGTTGTGTCATTTCTCAGAAATAATTCCATCATAAACATGTATTAGTAATTGTGGTTAATTACGGAGTTACAAAATCACCATTGTTATTGCTCGATCAAAATGATCTTCTCAGCTGTCATAATGATCTAATACGAAAAGCTTGTTTTATTTTATTGTTCTTCACTGTGACCCTGTGAATCTATGTGGTCAGTTGGTGAAAGTCTTTCCCGCTAATCAGTCTACATCCATTCTCAGGATGAAAAGATGATAGTTTTTGACTGAAATAATAACACAATTTAAAGGCTTCATGCCATATATTATATGTCTAAGCATTTCTCAGCTGTCTTAAAAATACAGAGCTCCTGTTATGTGTCAGTCTTGCTAAAGGACTTATTAATAGCTGTGTCTGAATTTTGTACTACAGTTAAAAATAGATTTTTCCAAATGGTGTTACTACCCAATATAAGTGTAAGATCCTGCTGCTTTCTTCTGTATTAAATATTCATATTTACATTATATAGCTTTGTTCATCTATAAGTATCCTGAATTTTTTTACGCACAGGAGCAAAACAACTTCAGCCATGACTGCAGTTACCACCCACATGGATAAAGTAAGACACTCATTAAAAATCTGTCAATCGGTCAGTCAATCATTTTGCTAGAGCTATAGCAACCTTCACAACTTTACAGAATTATTATTATTAATGCTGTTAATATTGGACAGCAACAGTAGAGCATGTGGGCACAGACGAGGGGAAAACAAACTCCCAGTTGGAGAAAATAAACCTCTAGACGTCCCAGGTCTAATAGTTGCCCCCATCCAATCCAGACGAGTTTGTTGAGCAAAAATTATAATACATCTTGGACAATCTCTGCAATGTCAAGAGCTGAGATCCTGTTGTTCTGGGTACTGTGCTCCGGCAGTCTCAGTTCACAACAATTTGAAATAAGTGTGTACAAAATGGTATCACCCCTGCTCTTTCAAAAACCGCCATGAGATCTTTAATGACCATGTAGTCAGGACCTCAGTGTAATGTCTGAGTTAAATAACAGAGACCACTGGGCATTGATTTAGGAAATTATGGTATAGAAGGAAAAGCACCACCTGCTGGTCAACAAACAGCACTTTCAGTTGCCTCTTGGATGCCCTCAGAGGTCTCTCATCCCAGCCTGACCAGACCTTCACCTACTGAAGATAAACTATTGTAAACAATTCCTTGGTCACTTTCTGCTGTAGGCTGGCTGTTGGCTTTTTTTTTTATCAGAGTTAAATGATTCACGTGCCTTGAGTTTAACTTTCACTCTGTTGTGCATGATTTATGATTAACTTCCTTTGCCAATAAACCAAGAAATAATGACTCATGAAATAAAGGCTCGTCTTTCCTGTAGAGCTACACACTTCCCTTGCTTTTGAAAGTCACCAACAGGAAACTTTGGCGGGGTTCCTCATCAATTATATTGCATAAGAACAACTTTCTGTGTGCTTTCAGGAAGAGTATGAAGTTCAAACAACCACACAGGAAAGAGAAGCAATAAACAGTATAAACTTTGTAAATCTTATTTTTCTAATTTAATTTAAAAAACCTCTTGAGCTCAATGTACTTCCTAGCTGTAAATGCTGCGATACTGAAATCAAAGGACTCCTTTATTGCAAAGAAAATCCCATGGCTCCAATTCGGTTTTACATTTGTCTATATCTTACTATACCTGGAAATACAATGCATTTTATGAAGTAATGGTATTGAAAGATTCATGTTGTTGTTTTTCTTAGACGAGAACATGAAAACAAGATTTTGTTCTACAAAGAAACTGAAGTTAATGGGTATGACACCAACATGAAATAGAGTTTACACTGAAAACTATATAATATGTAATGCAAGGCTTACCTTGTAAGAAAAATGTAAAAAAATCAATTAACTATATGAACACAGAAGTTGTGTGTTGGTTCCACTGTGGTAAACTTTTCACATAAAGAAGTGTGTGTGTTTAAACCCAGCATTCATATGCGTTCTGTTTGGGAAAATCCCATACATCTCTACACTCTTTCTTGAAGACTTTTCTTTCTATTTCATGAAAACCATAAGATGATTACCATGACACACTGTCCTTTAGAATCCAAAGAATGATTATGAACTTTTCTGAAGAACAAACAGAAACAAATGTGTTGTGAAGGCATTCAATCTTTGTGATAAAAGCTGTTTATTTGTCACCTAGACGAATAAAAAGGTGTCACACACCTCACACACAATGTTTTGTTCATTAATCAATCTCTTATTGTCTTTTATTACAAATGAACAAAAGCATGAATGGTTTTATAAAAAATTATGAATATGACTGCATTTTCCAGACATTCACTCTCATCGGATAATTATTTGCATTAGAATCAGAATTAACACAGATATTTAAGGTTCAAAACTGATGCTTGTTCCTTTTCTTTATGAAAGGAGAAGCCCCATTTCGTGCCTGCACATACACAAAAACCTTGGCAAGTCCAGTTTTGGAGATCTGTAATCAGTACTACAGTGAAAGATGACAGGCTTTATAGAGAATGACAAAAGAAATGAAATTGAAATAAACCTTGGAGCCTTGTGCCCCCTGGACAACAACATTTTTTTACTGCAGCAGGTTTTCTTATTCTTCCACTGATAAAAGATTTTCTTTTCTGTCTGCCTCTACAAAATGTAAAGGTAAAAATAAAGACGTAACAACTGAGGCATGAACATTTTTCATCTTTTGTTTTCATGATTGATGACCCATAAGATTGATGATACTTAAAATTGTTGTTTAGGGTCTCATCACAGCCACAATCCAGCAGGATGCACTTATCATTTTGGCCTGTTTAGGACTTGATAAAGCATGATGTGCCTAACTAATGAATGCTTGACAGATGGAGAAAATGCTTTCTTAGCAGAGCCAAAATCATTCTGTCTTAGATTAGACAAAAAGGCTGTGTTCCCTTTGATTTGCCTCGGCATTATAAACAAACGTTACCACTGCAACTAATTGGTATGTTGGGGTTGGACATTAAGAATAAACAATGAAGATAATATTATTATAGCGTTTGCCATATCAGTATGTGTTTTATCAGTAGTTTCACACAACTGTTTTCTTTCTGTTATGAATTGTGCAAGTTATTCAAAATATAGTTACAATTTACTGTTTTAAAGAATTGTTGTAGAAATATGCTGGTTTTAAGTCCTAGTCAATAATTAGAAGGCAGTAATAAAATATCATGCAAGATGAAATTTTATTCAGATTCAATTTATATAGATAACAATGGCATCCAAGTCTGCTGTTGGTAATTTTCCACAGCGGGTGACAAGTCCAAGTGTTTTATAAGATCCTTTTTTTTTTTGCTGAAGCTAACATGGAAAATTGAAATACTAAGTTCCTATATTTCCCAACAGATTGTCTCCTCCTAGCATTTTCTCTTCAAATTTCAAACTACTTCAGCAGGAAAAAATGGTAAAATTAATAATAATAATTGCTTACATTTATATAGCGCTTTTCTGGACACTCCACTCAAAGCGCTTTACAGGCAATGGGGGCTCCCCTCCACCACCACCAATGTGCAGCATCCACCTGGTATGAACCTGCAATGAAAAAAAATGATTTATATAAAAGACTGTTACATTTGAACTCCATGTGTTATAGGAAATCAAGTTCTATTATAAATGCAAAGTAATAAAGTCAGTGTGTTAATAACTAAGAAGAGATGTAACAGAAAAAAAAGTGCAACAGAATATCTCAAAACCGTGTCCAAAGGGAGGTTTTGGGATGAAATAATTAAATGTTTTTTAAGCACCAAAAAACAGAAGAGATCTATGCAATTACACCTCCTGAAGAACAGCACATATTACTCCATGAAGAATCCAAGACAGGTTTACTTGTGAAAATCCTATAAAGTGCAAGCTCTGCTACTGTTTGTGCCCATCGACAGGTGGTTCAGGTTTGTAGTGTGGGATGAGGGATTAGTACAGAGGTCATTGTTTGGCTGGATAGTGTTGTGAATACAAAAGGGTTACCACAGGAGGTCTGGATCGTTGACTATGCTGTGGGGGGAGGGTCTTTGAGATTTTAGGTGATGACGGAAAGCAGGAGGGTGTGGTGAACCCGGTATATTGAATTATCTAGGCCAATTGTTACAGTCAAATAGTGATATTATTGTCATTTTTTCTCACCATCACTTTATTGTCCTGAGGTTTTCAAAACAAGGAGTGAGGTGCTGATATTGAGTCATTAACTTTCCATAAAATACCCCTTTGTCTGATTCATGGCTGCTAGGCTGTATAGCACCAGGTCAGAAAAAAACCCCAAGACATTGCATTAAGTGACAGAAATATATTAAAGATTTTTTTTATTTCTTCATATAAAAGGTAAAATCTACATGCACCTCCAGTACAGTACTTGTATTGCAAAATGCACACAAGAACAGGACAATAAGGTTTATTCTCTTGAAATCACAGCGCAAACACCTATTTATATTATTTTCTTTAAATTATTTTTTCAAGTGTATTTTTTCATCAATTTTATTTTTAGGCATATTGCTTTCTAAAACTAATGCTAAGAGCTGGTAGGTTTGTCTGAGCTTACAGAAGTCTTGTGGAATATACTGTTTAATCTTCCAAACCAAAAGGAAGACTTTTGTATTATTTTATTCAAATTTCTACAATAGGTCGCAATACCTATATATATATATTTCAGTACAGGTTTGATATGAAAGGTTTCCTTTCCAGAAGCACCTAATTTAGTGAATCTACTTATCAGTATTTGCACGCAGATACAACAGATTAACCGTAAAGAGTACAGATAATACATAATTCGTCTAAACGACAACTACATAACAGAACCTTACGCTAACTTACACAGACAAAAAAAGCCGATTAGAGTAAAATATAACAAGGGTTATGTCCCAAACCATGTGCCTCCATTAGAGAGATAAAAGAAGAGATTGATAAATTGCCATTTAGTCCTTTTCTTTGACTTTCATGAATTTACATTATCTAATGGGGGCAGAAATGAAAAGCCCTGATTAGTGTGGAATGAGTTGGAAAAAAAGCTATTTGTCTTTGTTAGCATCCTCCTGTGTTCTTTTATGACCCGTTTTTACAAGGGTGGGAGCCGAAATGCCTTTCCCATTAGATTGAAGAGCAAGGAGGCTGAGTGGTCATCCCGAACACTAAACGGAGTGTCTCCAGAAACAGAGTTCAAGATTGTGAATGCTGGTGACTCCTGTGTAACCTTCTGAGGTACTGAGAGCTCACCCTTAAATGACCCCTAACTCTGAGGAAAGATCTGGGTGCTTCCAAGGGGTCTCCAGACCAACAATGAGAACTTCAGTGTTTAAATAAATTGACCAGTTCTCCCTCAAACCCTTCATCTTTAAACACGAATAGCGACTGTATTACAAAAATACGGTTACAATGTTGGTAAACATATTCCATTCTTTGTTTGCAATTTTGTTACAAGATCCTAATTGTAAACAAACTACTTTTACTGATATTTTGGGAATATCTCAAATAATATTACTTTGTTGTTAAAGTCAATGTGGTATCTTAATTAGCAAAGGACAGAAACATTAGAAACACATAAATGACTTTTTTTAATTTTTACCTAAAAGTTGCGTTGTTAAATGATTTTTTTTTTCATTGCATGGTAATTAAAACTGTAAAATGTTGGACGTGCGAATAAAGCCTTACTTTACTGCTACTATAATGGAATATGACCGTAGGATTTTAAAAGCGTCAAATTAGACTTTTTAATTAAGCGCTTTTCACGAATACTTGGCAGCCTGATTGCCAAGATTCCTGAATTTCAAAGTAGCTGTTACTAAAACACAGCCTTTTCAAAGCAGCATTACCCTATACACGTTCATTTCGTCAATTTCAAACAATATTATTTCCTCGATAAAATGACGAGGGGCTGAGTTTAAGTGTGTTGATACTGTAACAAGTATGAGCTTAATTATGTTGTACTGTAATATCAGTAAACAAGAACTAAAACTCTGGGTGTTTTTGATGATAATGAAATGTTTAGACAACAAAATCCAACAATGTTATTTATTTTAAACGTAAAACATAACACCGTTAGATATAAAAACGCGTTTTGTGGTTTAAAGGAGGAGAGAGCGCGCTTGGGTTAGCCGACGTTCACCACTCGGGATGGAAAATTTTCCGTCTTTCTTTTCACGAAATGGCCTTTCCCAGAAAATCTGAAAATGTCCAAAATAAATACAAGAGCTGTCCGGGGATGCGACCGCTCTTCAACCGGGCGGTTACACGGAAACCCTGATCTGATGATAACAGCGAGTGATGCGGTCGTTGGGATTATCCCAGTTTTCGCCACCCCCTTAGCGGGGCCCCTCTGTGTGCCAGTCCTGCTGCAGCAGCAGTGAGAGTTCAGTCGGGTTGGGGAGAGGAATTCAGAGGGAGATGCTGCTGTCTGTGACGGGCGCAGCTACAACAACCCTAAGGAAACCAACCCGCAAATAAACTCATCTCGCAATGGATAATAATGACGCGTTTCTGCACCTCAGTAAGTGGCCTTTCCGCCTCGAACATTTCACCGTCGTCGGTTCCTTGTGCAGTGTTATTTAGTTTTCCCGTCCGTGTGCCATGCTTGCGATGTACTGCACGGCGTGCTTCCCCTGCCTTTTCCAATTGCAGGGTCTGGCAAACTGAATTCCATCAGCGGACTTTAGACGGGATATAAATCCAATGGCCGTGTTATCTGTTTAGCTAGCACTTGTCTTGCAGTAATGTTTATTGACAAGAAGGCTGTGCCAGTGTAGAAAGTCAGGTGATAGCAATTCTCCCTCTCTCAGACAGGGTCAGGGGTTGGCAGTTTAATTACTCTTATGTAATATATGGCCTTTCTAGCGCGTCTCCTACTAAACTGTTTGCAGCTGAATGGCTATTTATTAGTCTGCAATGGTACGGAAGACGTCAAGTACTTGTAAGAGGAGCTGGGACTTTTTGCCACTTTGCAGAAAAGTTCAACTGGCCAACCTAACTAAATGGGACTTGATGTACAGTGCTGGACAGTTTTTAGAAAAGACGTCTTAATGGGCACAGTACAACTGCCTTAAATACATTAGTTTTTTTTTTCAAAGTACAGATATAACGCATATTTGTTAAGGAGTCCACATGCGTGTGTAGCTTAATACCAGATTTCTTGGGACAGATCTATGTAGTCGCACGTCTGAATGTTTTGCAATTTTGATGCTATAATTTGCCCGTTACAGACATTGATACACAACACCGTGCTAAGGCTTGATATTAAACAAATAGACAGGGAATGGAACATTATTTTTCAACACGATGGCTTGAACCTGAGAAAAAGCGGGCAAACCTGAATATTTCGTTTCTTGTTCCATCTATGGAAAAGATGTAAGGACACAGCGCCTGCATGTGGTTTTTCCATAGGTTTTTGCGCTGTTTCCGTGAATTGCAGTCAACGAAAGTTGATTTTTATGAAAGATCTTAAGTGAATACAGAAACAAAATCTGTATGGCTTTTTCTATATACGTCTGAATTCAGTACTGAGTACTGAGTGACTGCTGCCTAAGAATTGTTAGGGAGGTCATCCACGATTCTATAACCTGAAGGTGCCAAATAAATGTGTGGAAAGATAAAGATGTTTCTCGTTATTTGGCAGCTGTGGTTAAGATAGATTTATGGCTAAAGTCTTGTCATGTTGATTTATCTTTAAAAATAGTTTATTTGTCAACAACTGCTTTTAATACAGTTAAAGCAAGGATTTGTGAAGCTCTGTTTTAAAATACTAATTTAAAGATTTTAAAAAGTGATAGTAAAATTGGGAAACATAACTGTATAGCTGAATACTGTTTCAATGTCACCTTAAATTTGTCCTTTAATACACATTTTGTTCTGGGTAAAGGCTTCAGCAAAATTAATATTTAGGCCTACAGTTGTTGCTGCTGCATAGTGTTGTGTAGGGCAGAGAAAACTGTTGTGTGGAATGTATTTGTGTTAACCTGAGATTTGTTTGATACTGTGGACTTTGACATCCAGTGTCAATAATTTCCTTGTTTGAAGATCTGAGAGCTCTTGCTGCTCCACAGTATGACAGAGTACAGTGGATTTGTTGTTTTAAACCTTGGTCTCTGATTATACTCACTGATATGATCTAAAGTTGTTGCTTCTGATTGGATAGCCGTGTTACTCTAGTGTTCTCTAAAGCATCAAGTAACGCTTTTCAGGCAAGAAATTGCGTGTTTATAACATCTGTGAAAGTTAGGAGTCATAACAATATTAATATTAGTGTTGTATTTTTTGAGCTGTAGATGTCAAAGACTATTTTGTGGAATTTCACATTTAACATTCACGGGAATGACTGGATATGTGGCTGTGTCCTACAAACCAGGATAAGTGGACTGACGATGGATGGTGGATATCTTGGACAACTTTGGGAATATTTTAAATATTACTATAATGTGCTATCTTCAGTATTGAATCACTAAAAAAATATTGCTTTACACTATTACAACAGTGCATGATTGCAAGCTGACTAGTTTCAGAGTGTGTTGCATTCTGTTGGTTAAACATGCAGTGTCATCTGTCCTTGGGAGAAATTGCTTAATGTGAAAGTTACATACAGACGCACTTAAACTAAATCAGCCTTCCCAGTGACCACTGGTATGAGATCAGTAAATATTTTACTGTCTGGTAAGCATGTCAGAGGTCATAATGAATTATAATAGCATCTTGAAAAATAAATTGTCTACTAAATAAATTAAAAACTGTTATACCGCATTTGCTGAGATAATTATACAAAATGATGTTATAAGATGTTATACAAAATGTGAGTGAATCCTTCTATGTGTTAAATGTACCTCTAAAATTACACAGCTTAAATGAAATGCAGAAAGTCACCAAATTCATTGCACTCCAGGAAATTACTTTAAAATGTATTTTAAACAACCACCCACATTTTCTAACATTATTGCTGTGGAAGAGAGTGTATTTATTTGATCAAATACTCCATAAGAAATTGGAACGAGGATTGTTTATTGCTCTCAGCTAAGCTATGTTTTATCTTTTGCATTACGGAATCTACACAGGGACAACATTTGTGGAGTTTCATGAACTAGGTTGCAAGAAAACAGGATCTAAGGATCCTTCTGTGTTGCTGACCACTAAGATTAAAAAAAAAGGGTTGTAGTTCATTTTCACAGCATCCATTAACAACTCGTCTTATAATATACTTCTTCCTCTCCCCTCAATTCTTTGTAAATGGGATACTTTTGATTTCTATTATAAGGTTTCAAAATGTCTCCGTAACATGGTTGTTCTGTCTTGCAGTCCGTAATGTTCTCTAATGTCACAGTCTGCCTCAAGGCTTGCTGATACCAATGAATTAATTGAATTATATTCAATTCATTATGTACCGAGTACGATAATCTTCTGGTTCACTGTGTTTTGTTTCATGTCCAAAGGTGTAATACTGCTTATTAAGACCTTTTTCTAGTTTCAGAAACATGGAAGGAAATTGGGATTGTGTTTTAAAATAAAAGTTTAGTAGTAAAGCTTGTATGTGACTGATCATATATAGGTCATAGCCTGAAAAAATAAGAAGTTCTGATTCTGAAACCTACAGTCTTATAAACCAAACAGTTTGGTTATAATGAAGTCAAGCTCTTTTCAGAGGATAGTCAGTTCACTGGTATTATCTAATAGTATCAAAACTAACAAACCCTGTATGTGATTTAAGGCCAGCTGGTCAGACACATTTATGTTATGTTCCTTGTTATTGTGCAAGCTTAATTACTGTTGTGTAGATATAAAATACTGTATGGTGATGAAGTAATGCTATAAAAAGTGCAAAATGAAAATGTAGTTATTTTTCATGATGTGGAAATTGAAATGTAATTGGTCTGGATAGTATGTACTTTTGTTTATCCTCCTTATATTAAACTTGATACAGTATCCTTTATGCCATGAAGAAAAAAATACTGTAAATCTAAAATTTAAAATCAAATTGCTTGATTGGAATTTTTGTTTTCACATGCCTCAATTTGTGTTTGGGTTACCACATTTGCTGATATTTTTCTGGAAATTAATATTTGTGTTTCTTGCATCTGGATTAAATTCAAGATTTGACCATATTCAGAATGTGTCTCTCGATGGCCACCTATTGTTTGCTAGATACCCAAAGAAAAGCCCCTATCAAGTATTACTTTTTCAATTTGTAATTGGCAGTAGGTTGGATGTTCTGATTGAATTTGAGCCCTAGTTGAATTTCTATTACTTTAATCTTCTAGTGGGTCTCTGAAAGCCGAAATGATTCACAGCCTTCTTGCTACTTTGAGATGTAATCTTGAAATGCTTTCAAAGACAAACGCTATTGTCTTTGAAACATGAACCCATGTACCGCTAACATTTATTTAATTATGTGCTTTAATAGGAGGTACAAAGCCCATGTTGTCTCTTTACGTATGCAAATGCCATTTTTATCAGCAGATGTTGTAAAGGGACTCTAGGAGAGGGATTGATTTGGTGGCTCACCTGTAATGCACTTTGAAAGCATAATGTGATCTGTTTTGTTCCCAGCCTGGCTATTGTGAGTTATGATTTCAATGGATTTAAAGTGACTCAGATTCATAGAGAAAAGCAAATGTTTTACTTACTAAAAATCAAGCAAGCCTGAGGAAGATTAAATCTAGAAAGCAATATTAAGATTTAATATTACTCTAAATTGATGTGACCAATTGGGTGCTCTTAATGTAAAGTCTTTTTTATCTCTACACATTATGTTTATCTTTATGATCTTGAGGCATCAACTTAATTCATAAATGTGATTTTTGAATTAACATGGTAATACAGGATGTCAACACGGCACACAATATACTTTACTGTATATACATTTAGCAGACATTATTTGCATTACAGCAAAAGCAGTACCATAACCTGGAAGTGGTTAAGTGGTTTCTGCTTAAATTGCTTTGTATAAATCTGTTTGGAAGGAGGTTTGTATTGGTTAAACATCTATTTTTTTTTGGCAGTGGACACTTACTGATATTTTATCGCTTTAAAACGTAACTCCCAAAACTGGAGAACTCTTACAGTTAGGTATACTGGGGCCTTTTTAGCTACTGCAGTTGAATTTGTCTGTTATTTTTAATTTGTGTTATTTCTCTCAGTGCAGAAGAAGATAGAAATGGAAATAAAGAATCTATTAGATAACATTCAGCATGCACTGATATGCAGCGCAACTGTGACAATTACCAAATGTGCAACGACTCTGTCTTCTAATGAGCATGTTATGTGCCCTAGTTACAGCATTCGTAGTTACAGAGCTACTGGGGACATTCAGAAAGAAGCAACACTTTCAGTTGCTTACTTCTGATTATGACTTAAGAAAAAAGAACTTACTGTATACCTTGAAAACAAAGAAGACCATGAATTTTAATGTTACTCCATAAGCAAATTAAATGTTAGCTACAGAGGTTATTTGCTCACATTTTTAATATCATTAGACACCCAGGTTTTACTGTGGCAGCCAAATGTCAGCCA